CTCCTTCGCTTCACGCATTGTTATTCTATTCGTTAGCTGCGAAACCCTCGCGTCATCAAATTATTCGGCCATTCTTTTCGCTCCGTACTAGCGAACGTAGCAACAACAGGAGCAATAACAATCGTCGAGTGGATCAACGGAATCATAAACCTACTCCTCCTTGGATTGATAAGTGGCCTCCTTCATCCGCCGGAGTTGGCGGTGATCATGCTGGGAAGAGAGGTGGTGAAAACAACGGCGGAGATAAAATTCGGTCGGCGGAGGAGGAAGCGGAAGCGAAACTTCGGTATTTGGAGCGGGATAAAGGACAAAACGCGATTGAGAGGATTGTTCTTCGGCTACGGAATTTAGGATTAGGTTCGGATGATGAGGAGGATGTGGAAGATGAAGAGGGAGGTGGAATTAACGGCGGAGATGTGAAGCCGGTGACTGGAGAAGAGAGATTGGGGGATTTGTTGAAGAGGGAGTGGGTGAGACCTGATATGATGCTTGCTGAGGGAGAAGAGAGTGAGGAAGAGGATGAGGTGTTATTGCCATGGGAGAAGAATGAGGAAGAACAGGCGGCGGAGAGAGTAGAAGGAGAAGGAGGAGTGGCGGTGATGAAGAAGGGGAGAGCTAGAGCTCCATCTCTGGCGGAGCTTACCGTTGAGGATTCTGAGTTACGGCGGTTGAGGAGGGATGGAATGTATCTGAGGGTAAGGATCAATATACCAAAAGCTGGGCTAACGCAGGCAGTGATGGAGAAGATTTATGATACTTGGAGGAAAGAAGAACTTGTGAGGCTAAAGTTCCATGAAGTGCTTGCTCGTGACATGAAGACGGCCCATGAGATTGTTGAGGTTAGTTACTTCTCTTGAATACTTCATTGATTAGAACAGTAGCAGAGGTTTTAAGAAGGTTAGCTGAATTTGAGGTGCAAAATATGATACGAGATTATCCCTAGAGAGAACGGTTTTCTTATCTATTGGGGATAAGATTTGCGGAAGCTACATGATCTTTATAGGATAATAATGGAGACTCTGAAGTACCTAAGCTCATTTTAGCTCTGTACTAGAATGGTTATAAAGCTTTTATTAGAACAGTATAAACTCTGTGAAAGACATTGAATCTCTCTTGGGAACAGTAATAAGTTGTGAATAAGGTGAATTTGAGGTATGGAATAACTAGAGTGGATGGAGCTGAGCATGGCTGTTAGAATTCTTTGAGTAACAAGAAAGTGCAGGAGATGCATGTCTTAACTTTAGGTTTAATAGAAAACTGATTGGATTTACTCTAATGGGCAGCGTCGAACTGGAGGGATGGTGATATGGAGGGCCGGAAGTGTAATGGTGGTTTATCGTGGACTTGACTACAAAGGACCTCCTGTGATCTCTAATCAAATGGCTGGACCTAAAGAGACTCTTTTTGTCCCAGATGTATCTTCTGCTGGTGATGAAGCAACAAATGCCAAAGATAACCAAAGTCCTCCTTCGGAAATCAAAGATCCCATCATCAAGAACCCTATTCGTAAAGAGAATATGACAGAAGAAGAAGCTGAATTTAACAGTCTATTAGACAGCTTAGGTCCACGTTTTCAAGAGTGGTGGGGTACTGGGGTGCTACCTGTGGACGCTGACTTACTACCTCCTACAATTCCTGGTTATAAAACACCTTTCAGGCTTCTTCCTACTGGGATGAGATCAAATTTGACCAATGCCGAAATGACAAATCTCAGGAAGATTGGTAAAACTCTCCCATGCCATTTTGCTCTTGGTAAGATGCTTTCTGATCCTAGATGATTTTTTTCAGATGGTTCTTCTGTTTTGTGTGCCAATGTTTAGGCTTGAATCTTCACTTTACAGGCAGGAACAGAAATCACCAAGGATTGGCAGCTGCTATACTCCAGATCTGGGAGAAAAGTCTAATTGCAAAGATCGCTGTGAAGCGAGGTATCCAGAATACAAATAACAAACTAATGGCGGATGAAGTGAAGGTCTCTCTTATCTTTTTTTATCTAAAGTTCAATGGTTAGGGTAGGGAAAAGTAATTACAAAGACAATCCACAAATTGATAGTGCATAGCAGAAAAGTTTCTGTCAATCCCTGAGCCCAATATTATGGGTAATGTTTAGGAAAATGTACATATATTTAAGTCTAATGATTTATATTGGGATTTCTAGAAGTTAGAGAAACCTTACAACTGGTGTTAATATCCAAACTAAATGAAGTAAGGACACTAAAGGACATATAAGACCCTTGCATTTGTACCATAGTGTGACCTTTATTATCTCCGGCAAGCTCTTGAGGATCTGAATGGCCATCGCTTATATAACAGAAAACTTTCACATAGGAAGGCTAAGTTCTTTCATTTACCTGTCTTGTTGCTATAGGCATTGACAGGGGGTGTCTTGCTGCTCAGAAATAAGTATTACATTGTAATATATCGTGGGAAGGACTTCCTTCCTTCAAGTGTGGCAGCTACTTTGGCAGAAAGACAAGAATTAACAAAAGAGATTCAAGATGTCGAAGAGAGGGTAAGAAATCGCGAGATTGAGGCTGTTCAGCCCGTTGGTGACAAAGTACCAGCAGAAGCTGGCACTCTGGCCGAGTTTTATGAGGCTCAAGCCCGATGGGGGAAGGAAATAACTCCGGACCATCGTGAAAAGATGATTGAAGAAGCTTCAAGGGTCGCGAACGCTAGAGTTGTTAAACGAATCCAGCACAAACTAAACCTTGTAAGTAAACCTTTGGTTTTGTTGTTTGTTAATTTGCAACTTGAAGTTTACTATGAGATACGGTTTGTCCAAAATAAGAAAAAGAAGCTTACTGTGAGATGTCTAGTGGCAACTGTCATAGCAAGTCGTTATGAGTGTATATAACTTCTCCCTTGGTTTGTAACAGGCCCAATCAAAGTTTCAAAGAGCAGAGAAACTGTTATCCAAAATAGAAGCCTCTATGATTCCAAATGGCCCTGATTATGATCAAGAGGTCATCTCCGAGGAAGAAAGAGCTATGTTCCGGAAAGTGGGATTGAAAATGAAGGCATACTTACCCTTAGGTGCGTCCTGGTCTCTTAAGTATTGTGGCTATTTCCTGTATGGCTGCCTGCAGTGATCGAAAGGTTGTGATAGAACGTTACAGATGTCTTCTTGTTATATGAATTTAACTGTTTCTTGACGTGAACCTAACAGGTATCCGTGGTGTTTTTGATGGAGTCATTGAGAACATGCATCTGCATTGGAAGCACAGAGAATTGGTGAAGCTTATATCAAAACAGAAGAACCTAGCATTTGTTGAGGACACAGCCCGGCTACTAGAATATGAGAGTGGTGGAGTTCTTGTGGCAATAGAAAAGGTTCCTAAAGGATTTGCGCTTATTTATTACCGTGGGAAGAATTACAGGAGACCCATTAGCTTGAGACCAAGAAATCTTCTGACAAAAGCAAAAGCATTGAAACGTTCCATTGCAATGCAACGCCACGAGGTTCGAAGTTCCTGAAGTATTCTACACGAATCGCATTTATATTCACAAGTTGATCAAAGGGTGCTTATTGAATTTTTTTTTTTGACAATAATTGCAGGCACTTAGTCAGCATATTTCTGAACTGGAGAGAACAATAGAGCAAATGCAAAGCGAACTCGTAAGTGGTCTTTTCCTCAACTGGGGATGCTAATAATCCAATAAAATCAATCTTTTGACACTATCAAGCTCCATTTGCTTTCGTAAAGCTTGTGTGTTCTGCTGTAATTCACTAACTGGTGGTTTTGCAGACTTCGAAAACCCCATCATACAGTGAATCAGAATGGGAGAACGATGAGGATGATGATGAGGAGGAGGAGAAAGATGATGTGGAAGATAATGAGAGTGATTGGGATGAAACTGATGGCGAATCTACAATATCTAATATCGACGAAGCTGACATTTCATCGCGCTAAGCTGATAAAGTTTTGAACACAGAGATTGTTCTATCTCAGGAGGTTAAAGCTGACAATGATGCAGAGAAATGGTTCTGATTTTGTCTGTGCAATGGTGGGAATAGAAAAGCAAGTGATGATTCATCATCAATGTGGGTAATGTTTAAGTCTCCTGGCGCAGAGATCACAAAATCTACGAGCTCAGAAAGCAGAACCTGTCTGTGTATGTCAGGGGAGAAAAGAATAAGCATCTATAGTTTAAATACATTGTAAGTTTTGCCAATGTATCATTATTTTAAAAATATTAATAACATTCAACAAAATGTATATTAGTTCTACTACCTTTGCTTAAGTTCTGGCAGCAATTGTGATCTGAACAACTACTACATTCTGGTGAGCATTAGTTAACCAATGCATATTACTTTGGTCGGTTGGTATAGTGATTTCATGATCCTTTAAAGATTGGCTAAAATCCAAAATATGAAGTCCTTGTGTGATGTAGAGACATGAAAGACATCAGTGTGAAGTTGTCATGCGACATATTCATAGCCCTAAACTGTGATTGCAAAGTTTCAAATCGACTACTCAAGAACTTTAGTGCTTCACCAACCCATGCATTAGTCCTCTCTGTTAAACCAAATGGAAACCAAAAAATGTCCAAATCAATGAGAGCTGATGAAGTGATGATATATATTCATTTGCATATTTTGGGCTCCTTTGCTCTACATCTGCTCTTCTTAGTAACGGCCCATTTATATATTTTTATATTCTAGCAAAAATATGTATATGTGAAAATTTAACTTTGTGAGGATAGTTTCTTTATTATTTTTAGATTTATCATTTATTTTGCTAAGTAATAATTTATTTTTAAGTATATTTAAAGTCTTCCCAAATTGTAATTTATTAGTGGAACGTAGCTGAAAATTTAAAGTCTCACAAATAAATTTAAAATCAAATTAATTAAACTTGAAATCAAGAAAAGATGGAAAAAAATGGATTTCTAATCATCAACGTTAAATATACATAAAATAGAAAAATAGAGAGGCTATATATAAGACGTTTCTTCGACATCTATGTTTAGCTATCATATATAAACATAAAAGGACGTATGCATGGGAAGACTTTTCCCTACATTCACATATAAGATGCACTAATTAATTTACTTGATCCCATAAATGATCTATGTATGTTTGTGTAAATGGTACAATTGATAAAATTGATGGAGATTACATAAGAACAAGTTGGGTAATTCAAATCTAATATACATGAATTAATTTGAATCCCTTCACCATATGGAGTCCATATTAAACGCTTCCTCTTGCGGTTGGGGTTGCACTTGAGACGAACTTGAACCATTTTGGATCATATTGGAGACTCCTTGTTGAAGAGAAGAATGATTGAAACTGGGGATCATCTCTTTTGGGAAACTATAAGAGTTCCTAATTTGGAAAGCCTTGAGCAACAAAGAGTTGATTGGAGATAAAGGCTGACCAAGTAGACTTGTTGTCCAAGACGGAAGATTAGTACTAGCCATGTTCATGTTCATGTTGAGACCAGCCGTACTTGTAGTGTTGTCTTCTGAGTAAACATTGCGTTGCGAATATTGATGGATATGATTATTGTAATCGATGGTTGATGAGTTTGAATTCAGATTGGGAAGCTCATCAATATCTTCAAACTCATTTGCCATTGATGAGTTTGCATCGCATGGAGATCCAAAAGATGGTTGAGAAGATTGAGGTTGTTGTTCTTGTGCTTTCTTTGCTGCCGTGCTCTTTTCGAAAACCCTACACACTACCCATTCCTCCTGAAAATCATATAATATATGGTAGATTAGATTGAAATGAGTGTATGTATATGTATTTTTTTGTTTATGCAATTTCCACTCTAGGAAACATTAAGATTAAAACCAGCTATATATATGAATATTCTTGAGTAGGTTTTATATATAATTGATTTCTTAAGTAGGTTATACTGGTACAAATTAGGGTATACAAGTCAGGTATTTTGCATGTGCCAAGCGTGTAAGAACCCATGGTCCCTAATATTTTAACAAAATTGTAGTTTCATTCATATTTGTAAGTCCAGAATGAATCATGTGTCTTGTTTTTAGAAATTTGAGAGCTAATCAATATTGGTTTCTTTATGTAATTTTGTTTGAAAATGTGCATATATATATCAAACTTCAAAATAGTTGACAAATTAATAATGTATATGTAATGTACCTTATTTGTGGGGTTGAAAGGTTGTTTGCTCTCAAGCCTGTACTCATGCATAACCCAATTGCTTTTCTCACCTTTGGGAGCTCTTCCTTTGTAGAAAACTAGGGTTTTCTTCATCCCAACCAACACTCCACTTCTGTATATTTCTTTATCTTTCCCGGTGGTTTTCCAGTAACCAGCTTCTGTTGCCCGGTTTGTCCTTAAACCGGTTGGATATTTCCGATCCCTTTGGCTGAAGAAATACCACTCTTTCTCTCCCATTGAAGCCTTGGCTGCATATGTACACATTATTTCGATTAGCATATGTTACTTTCAGTAATCACATCACTATGGTATGTCCTACGTATATATACGAACACACGAACAATTTTTTGGATAATTGTAATATAATGCTTCAAGTACAATATTAAATAACTAGCTAGAAAATTATATCTACTCTCCACATGTTTGGTAGGCTAGATACACCTATATATAACGTAATTTTTAGTCTCCTAGAGAAATGAAATGTATGGTTACTGAAACAAACTTTTGTTTCATTTATATTAGTTATATAAAGTGGTGGTATACGATGCACGTATTCATCCATATATTGTTATGTTATGTCTTTTAGTGATGGTATATGATATGACTAATCCATCCAATTTGCTGGATACATGATTGATTGATTTTAAAAAAAATTATATTATATTATATGTTTTCTAAAATTATTATATGAAAATCCATAGACAAAAAAACTATAGAACAAGAAGCATACCCACATATATTCTTATCCCCAAAGGCCAAAACTATTATTGGTAAACAAATCAACGCAAGTTATTTGGAGATGCATGATATAAACACGGGGGAATTGTATACAAGAAACATATGTTATAAAGACTTAGTAAAGTATAATTACCTGGCAAATCCCAAGGTTCACACTTGTTGAGATCAACGTCGACGACAGCTTTACCGGTGAATCCAATATCGGAGACTTTCCTACATAGATAATGAGTTATGAGCTCCTCGTCAGTAGGATGAAATCTGAATCCCGGAGGAAGATTTTCTTCCATTTCTTGTTATCTTTTTACAAATCTAAATGAAAGACAACAAAAGAAAAAGAAGGGTTTCTCCTCTCTCTCTCTCTCTTGAAGAGGACGAAGGAGAATATTGACTGCTTAGAAGCTTTTCAATAATTAATGTGACATAGATGGGGTTTATATATTCACTTATATAACTAAACTATATATTAAAATAAATAATGATTTGTGTACCAAATACCGATCTTGAGGTAGAAGCGGCCACGGGTAGTCTTTTTCAACTGTTGATAATTACAGCTAACATTTTGACGATTCAAGGTATTTCTCTACCCATACGTACGTACCCTTTTTATTATTATAAAACATATGTGTATTTATATGACCTTAATATATCAACTGTAGTGTGTAATAAAATATATGTCGGCGTATATATTAATGTTCCTTTTAGATTACATTACTATGTTTATAAAAATAACGTCCGTCTTAATATCTGCATAAATATAATTATAGAAACATAATATGGATTTATGTGAGGATTTGTCCAACCAACTTCACCAAATTCTACCCACCATGAAGCCCTAATGTCCAATGTAATGTGAACATGCATGCATGGCTTCTCAATGATCATTTCAGCTTCTTCTTTTTATAATTATTATATAAAAATTCAAATCTAAATCTAGACTAGTCGTCCAAAATCATAACTGTTATATATCTGCGATTATAGAGTAAATGCTTCCAGTTTTATTATTGCATCATATCCCTCTCTTGCTCTATTGACACATATTGCATCCATCTTACTCTATTGACACTTGTCTTTTGATCTTATCTCACTACCATATACATCCATACAAATAGACACATGCAATGTTCAAAAAGAAAATATGTTTATATAAATTATCCGCTCAAATTGGGTTTTCGTACATCAGATTGCGTTGCGACTCTTATACATAACTCGAATTGTATAGCTCATATTTTACGTTAAAATGTTTCGTGCAAATGTTTCCTCGACTATCGGGTGTGAACCAAAATATTGATTTGGTGGACCCAGTTATTTCTTGATACGTTGATAAATAAAATGACCCAAATCATGTATTTGTCTTTCACTCAAACTATCACAGAAATCAACGAAAATTACATACAGAAATCAACGAAAATTACATACTCTATTTGGTCCTCTCGGTAAATATAATTGTCTACCTTAAAAAGCTTTTTCTCTAATACTGATAGAGAAAAAAAAAAACCAAAAATATGGGATGGTTAGCACGGAGGAATTTTTTTAGTCTATCCTATGTTTTCTTTAAGATTGTGTTTTAAAGTTTTAACCAATCCTAGAAGATCAAACTTGTTCACATTGGATTTTCTGGTTGAATAGAACAGCGCCTATAAGGTTAAAATAATTACTCTGGAAGAGTGGTTAAAAAATCTCACCAACCTAATGGAATGTGTGTATTATATTTATACAGACATGAAATTAAATTGTTATTTTTCAAATTTTGTAGTAGGCAGAGTTATTGGGAGATTTTTGATACACAGATAGATATGTTGGAGTTGGGTCGTCATATATGTAATTAGATTGTCAATCCTACCATTGGAATTTTTTCACAATTAATTCAATTCAGCTCCATACTTTTCTCGTCCTTGTTTCTAGGCTTCTGGCTTTCTAGAATCACACATTCACACTACAGGTTAATAAATATTTTATATGAATGCTCCAATAGAGATTTGCCAGTTTACTAAATATGCTATACATATTTATATAACATGCATGGTTAGAAATATCAAGAAATTATATATATATATAATGACTGATAATTCTATCTTTGTTGTGATTCAATTAATATTACTCTATGATGGTTATAACTCATGACACGTATAGTATATAGATTATTAACGGTGACCTATTTATCAAACAAACTTATCATCACGATTTTATTTCCTACCAAAAACCAATATGAATTGAATAATTACAATTTTTTTTGTAGAATAACTTATGATTTTCAAGATTCGAACAATATAATGTATACTTTCTTTTGTTTCATTTGTCAAATCTTTCGGTAAATGGATGAAATTATCAATTTTATTTGAACCAGTGTAATATAAATAATAATTAATAGCTACTTGAATCAGTCATACCCTGCAACTAGTATATTATTTACACTAACTTAATAAACATTAACAATAAAAATATGATAATCAAGCTGAAGTGACACCAGGAAATAACATCTTATAATTCATTTAAAATCGTAAGATTGGAGTCCACATAATCTACAAATTTGTCTACACGTTAGATTTTTCTTTTCTAATGTAGATTTCTGTAATCCTTGAAAGTTTGTGTGAGAGGTCAAATGTTTTGTCATTATCTACGTAAATAAAATACTAGTCTTGTTTACAGTGTCGTAGACAAGAAAAGCAAGTTTCCAAATAACCCTGAAACAAAAATTACATTTGTATGGAAAGTCTAACATAGTATTCGGAATCAGGCTATTTGGATACTTTCGAGCATTAGTCGGAAAGCATTCCAAATTTGGGGTTAGACAGTATGATACTCCAACACCTAAGTGTTGGCGACGAGTCTACATGGTAGCACTTCGGTGCGTTCCCCCCGGAGCAGACCGGATCAGCCGATCGGATATATCAAAAAAAAAAAGTTCTCAAATAACGTTTGATATTGGAAATATTAAACCTTAAAAAGAAATTGTCGTTCCAAATCAAGTTTTTGGAACAAAAATAACACTCAAAAATTAAGTGGACAAAAATAGAAAATTATTTTTTATTTTTAAAATTAATAAATAATTATAATAAATACAAAAAAAATCACTAATTCAAGTTAATATTTTTCCGCCAAAAAAAATTTCTTCAAAATTTCCCTCCAAAATATTTTCCGCTTCCGAAAAAAAAATATCGTCAAAATTTTCTCGCAAAAAAAAATCCAAGAAATTCAGGAAGCATTCTACGAAATTTGGGAAGGATTCAACGTAATTCAGGAAGAGTCTTCCTTAATTACGTGGAATCCTTCTTGAAATTTATGAATTCATGAAATCCTTCCTGAATTACGCAGAAATCTTCCTGAATTTTGTTTAATCCTTCATGAATTTTGTGCAATCCTTTAAGGAATTTTTTCCTGAAATTCAAAGAATTCTTCATGAATTTTGTGATATCCTTCCTAAATTTGGTGGATTTTTTTGGCGGAAAAATTTTGACGAAATTTTTTTTTGTGAGAAAATGTTGAAATTTTGTTTTTGGCGAGAAAATAAATTTGCATTGCAAAAATTTTTTTGGCGGGAAATTTTCAATTTTATTTATTTATTTATTTTTAGTTAAACTAATTATTAATATTTAATATTTAATTAAAGTTTATAGTGTTATTTGTGAAAATTTTTAAATATAGTACTATTTTTGGAAGAAAACTTATTTTAGTGATATTTTGTCAATCCCCTAATATTAAAACTTAATAAATTGCTAAACTTATTTATTTCTAGGAGTAAAAATTTGAATATCACTCACTTATTAAAAAAGGCCACAGAGTACGTTAATGCTGGAAGTTTAGGCCCATTTATATTGGGCCTAAAGAATAGGCCCAAAAGTATTTGTGAACATGAAGAAAAAGGTCCCAAACTCAGAAAATCACGAAGACGACGAGTGAAGAAGAAGAGAGGAGAAAAAGCAATGGGGAGAAAGAAGGGATTACCGGAGTTCGAAGAATCGGCGCCGGATGGATTTGATCCGGCCAATCCTTACAAGGATCCGGTGGCGATGGTTGAAATGAGAGAACACATCGTTCGAGAGAAATGGATCCAAATCGAGAAAGCTAAGATCTTGCGTGAGAAGGTCAAATGGTGTTACCGCGTCGAAGGAGTCAATCACTACCAGAAATGTCGTCATCTTGTTCAGCAGTATCTTGATTCCACTCGCGGCGTCGGTTGGGGAAAGGATCATCGTCCTATTTCGCTCCACGGTGAGTTTAATGGTGGATGCTTTGCTGAAGCATTTTACTCGATTCTTTTGGGGTTTTTTTTTTTGTTCTCACTGGTTAATTTCTTGATGAATCAGTGCCTTGATTAGCAAAATCATCGAATTCATACTGGATTGATGTTGATATAGATTAGTCTGAGGCTCTGAGCTAGTGCATTTGTTTCATCGATGAATGAGAAACTGTCATGTTGAATTGTTGGTCTGATATTGATTTGACTGTGCAGGTCCCAAACCGGAGGCTGTTGAAGCTGAATAATGTTGTGTGCCTCAGTGATCTCTTAGGTAAGAAGCTGGTTCTGTGTTTATGTTACTGGAAGCAGTGGGTTGTTTGTTTAACTTGTTTAATAAACTGAAAGAAAACGTAAGACAAATTTGGCCTCCATGCTTGTGTTAACCTAGAATATGTTGTAGAAGTTATTCCTAGCAAAATAGGTATTACAACAATCTGAGGGATGAAACTTGTGGAAAGTTGTACATGTGTTAAAGCTTAGGTGAAACCTCCACTGTTATGTTATGAACTGTGCCAAACGTGGAATTCAAACTGGTGCACACTATTGGTTCAAAGGCTCTTCTTTTTTTGATGCAGATGTCTGAGCTTTTGATATGGGACATAAAATGGATCTTTTCAGAAGATAATGGCTCCCTGATTTCTTCCGAACGCTGTGCAAATTTCTCTTATTCTTAGAAACTTGTGGGTCTTTGGACCAATGGATTCATGTAATTGAGCTTTGAGTATTGTTACACTCCACAGTATCCGTTTCTGATTGTCAAATAAGTCCCTTTTTTCGCTCTCTCTTCTTTCCAGTTAATTTTACTTTATTATCAAATTAAGAATCACATGATAAAACAAAATCCAAAAATGGAGTTTCAAAGTTCAATTCAACAAAGCAAAAACACAGCATAATTTCTCAGAAAACAATCTTGTCTTCTGTGTCTTATTCTTCTGATATGATTCAGAGCTATCAATAATCAATTAAACTTAGTTCTCTTCATTACCACCAAAAAGCTTCATTTTAGACAATGGAGTCCTCAAGTACCCTTCTACTTCAAATTTCTTCGGAGAAAGCTCTCTGTACTTCGCAAACTGTTCCTTAGCTTCAACGTTCTTGTCAAGCAAGCTATAGATCATACCTCGACAGAAATACGGTCTGAAATCCTTTGGATCCTCTTTCGTCAGCTGCTCGTAGCTCTTCAATGCTTCATCCACATTCTTCTGCAAGAAATGTATCTGAGCAATGATCAGTCTCACGTCTCTCGCTTCCTTCACCAAATACTCAGCCTCGGCTACAGCTAAAGCATCTTCCAGCCTCTGCAGCACTGCAGCTCCTTCCCCGGACCTGTCCATGAGCAATGCATTCTCGAATAAAGCCTCAAACGAAAGTGGGTTTCGTTGGAGAATTTCCTCGAACATCTGGCGTGCGTTTTCGGGACGACCCATTTCGCCCAACAGCCTGGCCATTAAGAACTTCCACTCTGTTTCATCTGGTTGTGCAGTTACTAGTCTCTCTAAGAGCTTAAGAGCTTCTTCATCTTCTCCCTTCTCTAGCTTCTGCTGCAGGAGTGATCTCAGTGTCTCAACAGCCTCAGGAGTGGAATCCAAAAGCTCAGATAATGGCGCGATCTCAGACAGTTTCTCTTCTTTCACTTCCTGGTAGGCTTCTTCGGTAGTCGTAACCGGAGATTCTGCTTTCACCGGTAAAGTTGAGAACTTTCCGGTCATTGAAACAGCAGCGCCGATGAGAATCGCTGATTTGGCAAAATATTTCAGCTTCTCTGGAAAACAATAACCGGAACCATTCTGATTCGAGCTAGCCCTGATACGAATAGAAAGAAGATCGCGACGGGGAATCAGAGGTCCGGTGACCGGAACCGCTTTGACGGCGACGAAAGAAGTAACCAATGAAGAAGAAAGTGAAGAAGAAACTGAGAGAGACGAAAACATGGCGGCCTCAGAGCTTCAGAGAGTATCAATGGTTGCAGAAGCACAATCAAAATCGAAAGAGACCATGGCGATATATCAGACGCGCGTGTGAAGTGTTATTGGGCTTGATTTTATATAATGGGCCTTTAAATAATTGGGTCTTAGGCCTTTTGGTTTTGTTGAGGCAGATCTCCGGCGAAACTTTAGACCGAGATACGGAAGAATCAGATCAACGCATGCGACCAAGAAAATCAAAAGCGGGTTGAGAAGAAAGAGATAAGCTTTTACATCAGTAAGTTGATAAATTCATGTTTTGATTTTGAAATCAGTATCACTTTTTCTCGAATCAACCCTTTATCCGCAATAATTCCACCCAAAAATCATTAATTTTCCTGAGTTAGGGATTTCATGAATCTTACATGATCGATAATTAATTAGGGTTGTGATGATTAACCATATTTGAATCAGATTTTGAAGGCGTGAAATGGGAAACACTTCATCGATGCTGACTCAATACGACATCGAAGAAGTTCAGAGCCATTGTCATGATCTATGTGAGATTTTCCGACAACTTCTCTCTGTCTTTTTCTTATATGTTTCAAAAAATTTAATGCTTTGGTGTGTGTTTTGCTTCAGTTGAGCAGCAGGAAATTCTATCTCTATATCAAAGGTTTTGCCAGTTAGATCGAAACGCAAAGGGATTTATATCTTCTGATGAGTTTCTCTCTGTACCTGAGTTTGCCATGAATCCACTATCTCAGGTTTTTGACAATTTCCTTAATCTTAAATCTATGAAATCTTTGTTACATTGAATTAGGTTTGTTTGAATTGTTTGTTGGATATTATTAATAACAGAGGCTGCTTAAGATGGTTGATGGTTTGAACTTTAAGGATTTTGTGGCTTTCTTGTCTGCATTTAGTGCCAAGGCTAGTCTAAGACAGAAAGTTCAGTGTAAGTTGATACGTTTCCTTTAAATCGAATTTGTGGCAAAATCTTCTTTTTCACTTTATTGTATGGAATGATGATCAGACTTCTTTGTTTCCCAGTGATCTTTAAAGTCTATGATTCGGACTGCAACGGTAAGGTCTCCTTTAAAGATATCATGGAAGTGTTGCGTGACTTATCCGGATCATTCATGTCTGATGAGCAAAGAGAGGTATGATGTTTAGAAAGTTAGTAACTTTTAAGGTTATGGAAAGTGACTACACTATGTTCAACTATAACTAAAAAGTGAAACATCATTAATCTACTAAAACCTTCTTTGTTAGCGTGTAATGATTTTTCTGCTGAAACTCTATTCAGCTAAAATATTTCCATTTTAACTGTTTTGTTGTTCCATTACTCATTTGTCATATTAGTCGAACTTTGGGATAAAAGCTAGAGTTCTTTCATTTGTTTTTCTATAGTTATGATCAGTGTATAAATTCAGTAGACAAGTGTTTTGACCATGTGTCTTGTGTTTTACTTTGGGGTTGTAGCAAGTACTGAGCCAGGTTTTGAAGGAATCGGGCTACACAAGTGACTCTTTCTTAACACTAGAGGATTTCATTAAGGTACATTTTCTTACTTATTGTGATTGTTATCATCAGAATTGCAGTAATGTTCTAAGTTGTCACATTCCAAGAATCTGAAACTGCATCTCCTTTCTTGTATCTCCAATTTTGTCACAGATCTTTGGGAGTAGTAGACCGGAGATGGATGTTGAAATTCCTGTGGATTAGGTTTATGACCATATCATCAAACACAACACTCAAATCTCATCTTGTATTTTGTCCACACTGTTACTAGAATAATCCTTGTTAATTGATCACACACCATTGCAGGCTTTTTCAGCACTTTTACTAAGTTTCTTTATAAAGTATTTTCAATTGAAACTTGTTCTACTAAAGGAAATTACAATTGTTTCCTTAGCTTTTTGCATTACCAATAATGGCATATGTTAGACTTTAGATCCTTATCTCACAAATAAAATTATGTAGTTGGAATGGAATGAATAATCACGGAATCTCCATATTTTAAAGTAATAAAGTTGATTGTTTTGTGTAGCTTGTAATGAATTGTCAAAAAGGAGTCTGAATTTCAACGCTCAAGTGTTGGCATGTAATTAAACTATGGGTTAAAGAAACAAAAAATACTAATTATGGTAATTAGATTAACAAATGGTATGTCGACAAGAAAGCTTATTAATTATGGTAATTAGATTAACAAATACTAATTATGGTAATTAGATTAAAAAATACTAATTATGGTAATTAGATTAACAAATACTAATTATGGTAATTAGATTAACAAATGGTGACGTAACGTAATTAAAGTAGCATTGAAATCTACTTATATTGTCCACACAAGTCATTATATAAACTAATAAAAGGTATTAAAACGTCGTCATTTTGCTTCATAATAGACCACTTTATTCACCTACTAAAAGGTCCACCACCACTAACAGTTTCGTTTCGTCAGTCAAAAAAATAAAAATATCTTCACCATTCTTTTTCAAACAAAGCTTTTTTCTCTGAGAATCCGCGTCTAGTAATGGCGGCGAAGCAAGGTTCCTTCAGGCATGTAATACTCGAGAAACGTGAGAGGCTTCTTTCCAATAATGGTTTCTCCGATTTCAGATTCACCGACATCGAATCTAACGATCTTCTCGAAAACGAAAACTATGGAAGAACAAGGTTATGTTGCTGTTGTTCGTGTGGTAATCTATCTGATAAAATCTCTGGAGTGTACCAAGATGCTAAAGATGTAGCGAGGAAAGCTTGGGATATGGGAGTATCTGATCCGAGAAAGATCGTCTTCTCCGCGAAGATTGGTCTTGCTCTGACGATTGTGGCGCTTTTGATTTTTTATCAGGAACCTAATCCGGATCTTAGTCGATACTCTGTTTGGGCTATTCTTACTGTCGTCGTCGTCTTCGAATTCACGATCGGTAAATTCTTTTTTTCCCAGTGGTTTTAGTTTCCCATGATTTTGGGGTTCATTGGAAATTGAATTTTCTGGATTTGGTTTTGTTTCCTTGTTAAAGAAAGAGTATGCGTCGTTGCTTTCATCTGTAGAATGAATTCGTCGTTTTCTTCTTTTATAATTATATTAAAAAGGCAAGTGTTTTGCTTTTGTTTGACTGTAATTGACGATTACTGTATCATTGAGCTTAATTATACTTCACAGTGCTTAACATTGCTAAAATGGTAATTGTGTATAGAAGCTTTACATTGTGATGACTGTTGTTGGTTGTAATAGGAGCAACTCTAAGCAAAGGGTTTAATCGAGCGCTTGGGACTTTATCAGCTGGAGGTCTTGCACTTGGAATGGCTGAGCTTTCGACACTATTCGGTGACTGGGAAGAGCTCTTCTGCACTCTTAGTATCTTCTGCATTGGTATGTTAACAACATCTTCAGTTCTTTTACATCTATCATTTTGGTTTTCTTTCTGCTTATATATGTTTCTGTCTGACAGGGTTTCTCGCAACTTTCATGAAACTATATCCGTCGATGAAAGCTTATGAATACGGGTTCAGGGTTTTCTTGCTTACGTATTGCTATATTCTGATTTCGGGGTTCAGAACTGGGCAGTTCATACAAGTGGCTATTTCCCGGTTTCTGCTTATAGCTCTTGGTGCTGGTGTTAGTTTAGGTGTTAATATGTTTATTTATCCTATATGGGCTGGAGAGGATCTTCATAACCTTGTCGTGAAGAATTTTATGAATGTTGCGACTTCCCTTGAAGGTTAGTAAGTAAAACAAAGGTTTTGGGCTTTCTGAGTCTCGGGAAGGAGATGCTTGACTGGTGTTTTCTTTGGTCTTGCAGGTTGTGTGAACGGATACCTCCGTTGTGTCGAATACGAGAGAATCCCATCCAAAATCCTCACATACCAAGCCTCAGAGGATCCTGTTTACAAGGGTTACAGATCAGCAGTTGAATCAACCAGCCAAGAAGAGTCTCTGGTATTTGTCATTGCGGAATCATCTTCAATAAGTCTGTTTTTATTCCATTGTTTCTCATCTCTTAATTAGTTTGTGTTTTCTCTGTTGTAATTGCAAAGATGAGTTTCGCAATATGGGAGCCGCCTCATGGACGATACAAGTCATTTAACTACCCATGGAAGAACTATGTCAAGCTCAGCGGTGCTCTCAAGCATTGTGCATTCACTGTCATGGCATTGCACGGCTGCATTCTCTCAGAAATCCAGGTAACATAGTAGAAAGACTTGTATGGTTTTTTAAGGATTCCGATGTTTCTTGTACTTATAAAGAAATCAGCTGTTCATGATTAGTTCATGATTAGAGCTTAATCTGGGAACATTTCACAGGCACCAGAGGAACGGAGACAAGTTTTTCGGCAAGAACTTCAGAGAGTGGGCGTAGAAGGAGCCAAATTGTTACGAGAGCTCGGTGAAAAGGTGAAGAAGATGGAGAAGCTAGGACCAGTCGACCTTCTCTTTGAAGTACACCTAGCTGCCGAAGAATTACAGCACAAGATCGACAAGAAATCTTACCTTCTCGTCAATTCCGAATGCTGGGAGATCGGAAACCGAGCCATAAAGGAATCAGAGCCTCAAGAACTGCTCTCCCTCGAAGATTCAGATCCACCAGAAAACCACGCGCCTCCAATCTACGCCATCAAATCTCTAAGCGAGGCAGTTCTAGAGATACCGCCGAGCTGGGGAGAGAAGAATCATCGTCAGCCGTTGAACCATAGACCTACTCTCTCAAAACAGGTGTCATGGCCTGCACGGCTTGTGCTTCCGCCGCATCCGGAGACAACTAACGGAGCTTCACCGTTGATGGATACGACAAAGACTTATGAAAGCGCGAGTGCATTGTCTCTCGCTACGTTCGCGTCTCTCCTCATCGAGTTCGTTGCTCGGTTGCAGAACGTGGTCGACGCATTCGAGGAGTTGAGCCAGAAGGCGAATTTCAAGGAGCCTGAGATTGTTACGACGGGGACGGATGTTGAATACTCGGGCGAAAGAGTTGGACTTGGCCAGAAGATCCGTGGGTGTTTTGGGATGTAAGGTTTTTGTTTTTGCATCGGCGTTTCACTTAAACGCGCGAGAGATTATAGGTTAAACTGTTAACTGTAAACTGTAACTCAACTAGATTCGTAAATAATGGTAAAAAATCAGAGGCAGTTGTTAAACCTTATATCAGAATTAAGGAAATGTGTATTGGACCATTTTCATCATAAGCTCAAGAGGCTTGAAATCTAATTATTTTCGTCTACTGTATATATTGTAATCCAACATATTATTGAAATAAAAAACATTTTATATTTACTGTGAACGATACGAAATCTGTCCAAAAAGGTTTATTCTCGGGAATTCAACTCTCAAATCTTATGCAGAATTGCTGATAATTTGATGATCATGTAGATTAAAAGCTTGAAGAAATTTGTTTATATATCGGAAATAGGAAGAAATTACGTGAAATTCACACTCCTGTTTCGTTCATCCACGAACATGAAACTACTCGCTTACATTTATTTTTATCTTCGACCATGAAAAATATAGAAAGTAACGAAAAATAAAAGACAGGAAAAAAGAATATGTCAACAATATAACCAAAGGTTATTAGTCAACCCATCATCCGTTGACCTGTTGGAGGGGTCATCATCTCTTGCTGCTGTGCTTGTTGAACATTCCCAGCCCACCCTATTGTACAAATCAATAGTAGTTGTAATCTTTAAAACCAACATTGGTTATATAAAAATCATCAAAAAACATATCTAATCAAAAAAGAGATGCAAAAAATATAATTAAAGAAAGATAATTAATGAGAAAATGGATTCATCACAAAAATAAAATTACCAAGAATGGGGTCAAAACCATGGTGCTTGAGCTCACGATACTCTTGACAAAGAGCACACTGCATACAGACTAAGTGAGTGATCCAATCCGGAGCCGGAGCATCTGGTAACCCGTATTTGTTTCGTATCTTGGCCCTGAACATGTATGAATACACGAAACATGCCCCGGAAAAAAATATCGCTCCGTACAACAACCCAGCTGTCGCACAAGCTGCGTGATAGAAATATGTAAATATGTTTACACAAATGACCATCTATGTGTGTTTTTTAATTTATAAGGTTTGTGTATATGTATGAATGACTTACGCGTCGCGCCTTCGTCAACAACCTCCGCAATCTGTCCGAACGTGACGCATGGAGCGATCAATGTGATCACGGCTGATCCAATGCACAACAACAACAAAAAATTGAAAAACGACCAATCGTAGACTGTTTAGTTTTTGTTATGTTAGAAAGTTATCTAACCATTTTCACTATCGTTCATGCAATCGAAAAGTTCAGAACTCCAGCGATTTTGTGTTTGTTGGTAATTGACCCGTATGCCCGTTGGTATGTTTGTCGGCTTACCAGGTGCACCGTTATGGGAATGTACCTTGTTGTTCGGACTAGCCGTATGTTGAACCGGAGGTGCCTGATTCTTTTGGCCATCTGGTCGACCCATAGTCTTTAACCGGCTAGAGTTTGCCAACAAAACAGATTTTCTTCTCTCTTTTTTTCTGTAGACTTTTTTATAATAACAACTCTCTTATCGTTTAATTTTGTGAAAGCATTATAGATGATGGTTATGTTTATAGCTTGAATAAGTGATGGTGGGCTCCTTTTCGTCGTATAATTATTTCCCTCTTGTATATAACTAAATTCATTTGTAACTACTACTTTGAAACATTATTCTCCAGACTAGTTTGGCTGTCAATTTCTTTAAAAACCACAAAAAAAAAAAAGCAGCCAATTGCGTATTTTGTAATCAAGTATTAACAACATTATGTTGGATTTTGTAATAAATTTACGAAAAATACTTGGATTCACCCTTTTATATTCACCCCTTTTATTTCAGCCAATCAGAATCTACCACCTAATAATAATAATAAATTTTTATTAGAAAGGGTTAGAGTTTAGATTTTATGATTAAACGAAGTTAAATATCGGTTTGGATTTATAAACGGATTTAGATTTTACAATTAAACGAGGTTAAATATCGGTTTGGGTTTAGAAAGTACGATTAGAGTTTAGATTTTATGATTAAACGAGGTTAAATATCGGTTTGAGTTTATAAAGGATTTAGATTTTATAATTAAACGAGGTTAAATGCCGGTTTGGGTTTAAAAAGTACAATTAGAGTTTAGATTTTTTACGATTAAACGAGTTTAAATGACGGTTTGGGTTTACAAAGGAGAATTAGGGTTTAGATTATGTAATTAAACGAGGTTATATATCGGTTTGGGTTAATAAAAGAATGGTTAGGGATTAGACTTAATAATTAAATAAGTTTAATATTTTTTATTATATAGCGAATTTTGATTGGAATAAAAAGATTTACCTATAAGGTGAACCCAAGTATTGCTCTAAATTTACTTAGATCCGCTGCTATCATAAGTGACGATAATGAAAAGTGTATATACAATTCAGATGATCGCTTGCTATATGTGGGTTTGACCAAAAAATGATTATTTTACATATAGTGTGATCTGCAAGATAGTAACTTTAACTTCAAAACCTTTTTGATATCACAAAACTGGATATGCATTAAATCCTTATTTGTCATATAAAATTGGTTTCGGATTATACTGGCTTCTATTTGCAACGCCCGATCTGTAAAAAATGTTTTTCTTGAAATTAAATCTAAAATCTTCTGTAGAATTACGAATATTTTGATCAATATATTTATTCATATTTCGGAAATAGGAAGAAATTACGTGAAATCACACTCATGTTTTATTCATGGGCTCCCACAACATAAATCACTGCCTTACATTTATTTTCAGCAATGAAAAATATAAAAAAATTAACCAGAAAAAGGCAAAAATTCAACAAAAAAAAAAAAAAAAAAAAAAGTTATTTAAAACATATTGTGAAAAAAATAACAAAACTTTACAAGTCAACCCATCATCCGTTGACCTGTCGGAGGAGACATCACTTGCTGCTGTGCTTGCACATTCCCAGCCCACCCTATTGCATCAATTTATAGTTAATGATATTCAATACCAGCATTGGTTATATAAAAATCATCAAACAGATAAGCAAAGGGATTAATTAATAAGATAATGAAATTACCAATATTGGGGTCAAAAGCACGGTGCTTGAGCTCACGATACTCTTGACAAAGAGCACAATGCTCACAGAATAAGTGAGTGATCTAATCGGGGGCCGGAGCATCCGGTAACCCATATTTGGTTCGCATTTTGGCCCGGAACATGCATGAGTAGACAAACGGCACCCCAATGAAAAATATCACTCCATACAACAACCCACCTGTCGCACAAGCTGCGGAATACATGTACACATATATTAATATGTTTACAGAAATGAAAATCTACGATTCTTTGTTTGTAAAATGTCTGTGTTTGTATGAATGACTTACTCGTAGCGCCTTCGTCAACGATCTCAGCAATCTGTCCCAACGTCACGCATGGAGCTAAACAGGTGATCACGGCTGGACCAATGCACAACAACAACAAAATCAAGAGAATAATCATATTATGCTTCGTATATATGTATGCAATTTTGCGTGATTGATTTTATTTTAAAAAGCTATCTAACCATTTTCACTGTCGTTCATGCAATCGAAAAGATTAGAACTCCAGCGATTTTGCGTTTGGTTATTGAACGGTATGCCCGTTCGTATGTTTGCTTGGTGACCAATTGCACCGTTTTGGGAATCTCCCTGGTTGTTCCGGTTAACCGTTGGTTGAACCGGAGGTGGTTGTGCTTCATTCGGCTGTCCACCTGGTCGACCCATATAGATAATAGTAATTACCCGGCTAGGATTTTGCAACACAAAACGTTTGCTTCTTCTTTTGGTACGGTCTTTAAGTTTTTTGTTATAACGAATAGCTCTTATCCTTTTTTTGTGAAAATTATGGATAGAAGGTTAGGGATATATAAACTATGGTTATCTCAGTTTGAATTAGTTTAAACTTTTTGAGATGCTCTACTTTTCTTCGCATAGTTGTTTCCATCTTGTATATATATAACTAAATTCATTTGTAGCTTACTACTTTGAAACATTATTCCCCAAAATAGTTTGGCTGTCGATCACCGTCCTTAAAAACAAATAACCAATTGCGTATATTGTATTCAAAATTTAGTTGTAATAAATTTTATATCGATCCGATATCATAAGTGACGATAATAGAAATTAAAGTGTATATACAAATACACAGATTCAGATGATCGATTACGTACTGAATATGGGTTTATGACTTTATGTACATATATACAGTGACTGCAAAATATGTGTGGATATTAAATCTTTATTTATTATGTAAAATTGGTTTTGGGGTATTACTGGCTTTCTATATTGCCTATTGGTGGTTGACCAGCTGGTGGTATTCTTAAATTTCTATTCTATATATGAAAACAAAAATATTAACTGCAACTAAGTTTGAAAATTATTGATATAATGATAATTGATAATGGTAAACATGATTTATGCACTAATGGGTATTGTTTAATTTGCTTGGTCAGAACTCAGAACTTGAATGACCTTGACTTGCGCAAATAGTTGACGTTTTAGATACAGCTTATTTTGTACCAAAGCTAGACACCAAATTTATCGAATAAGGGGAAAAATAAGCCCTCTTGGATGTAAAAATTTGCGATCTTCCAATTCTTTTATTTTCATTTATCAAAATAAACAATATTGATAAAATTTGAAAATAGTTTAAACTAATGTGCTCAATATAAAAACTACACTTAAAAGTGCTGTTTTTGTGAACCCCTAGTTTAATTTAAATCATATTGAAAATCATTTATCTTTTAAATCAACCCATCATCTGCTGACTCATAGGAGGAGCCATCGTCCGTTGCATGTTTCCATTCCATCCTATCACATAAAAATAATAAAAGTTAAATCAAATAATTAACCAACATATCATGAAAGACGCTAATTTCCATAGAAATTGAGTCCACAAAACAATGTAAATTACCAAGAGAGGGGTCAAGACCACGGGTTTTGAGTTCACGGTATTCTTGGCAAAGAGCACAACATTCACAAAAGCAGTGAGTGAGGCAATCCGAAGCTGGAGACTCCGGTAACCCAAATTTGCTTCGGATCTTGGTCCGGTAAGTACATGAGAACAAGCAAGGCAAGCCGACCACAAAACATATCAGCCCGTAAAAAACCCCACAACTCCCACAACCTACATTACATTACATATACGACGTTACATGAATTCAGATACACACATGCATGTTTAGATATGTATACAAATACAAATGCAATTAAAAGGACATATATGAATGTATATGACTTGAAGAAAAATAATATATATATATATATGAATGTATATGACTTACCGAACCTTCCTTCATCGGCAATATTCGCGATCCGTCCGAAAGTGACGCACGGGCAGAAACATGTGAGGCAAGCTTATCCAACGCAAACCAAAAGTAAGAAATTTAATCATTATACAATCCTGAAAATATATTTATATATGTATAAATATTAAAGGACACTTGATTAATTTTATATAGAATTTCTAACCATTTTCGCTGTCTTCCATGCAGCTGAAAAGACCAGAAGTCCATTGCTTTTCCATTGTAAAGTAGATTTTTTGTTGATCGATCTGTTGATCTGCTAAGAGATCGTAAATTTTGAAGATAAAATTTTGTTGTGAGATGCTTTAAGAATGGAGGATGGGTATATATATAGTTGATGGTGTCGCTTCGAGAGACCTACAAATGTTTAATTTTTAGTACATTGCACTTTCGGAAAAATCATAAAAGTTGAAAAAAGACTTTGAAGTTTGAACATAGAGAAAGATTCTTCACCCCTTAAAACTAGTACGTTGCACTTTTTGTTAAAATGAGGAAATGTTTTGAAAAATGATTTTTGTTTAAGGAAGGTGAGAGATATTAGGAATTGTGAGAGATTTTAGTCTAATTTGAATTATATGTAAACGCGTTTTTGGATTGGTTTAATACACACATATATTGTATATACAAGATACAAAGAATTTAATTTTATGTATAAAAAAATTAAATAAATTATGAATAAAAAAAGAAAGATATATCCTAAAAATGCAAAAGTAATTAAACAAAGGAAAAGATTATGCTATATTATTAAACTGTCTAACCAGTGAAATAGATTAGATTTAAAATTGAAAATTTCATTAATTAATAACAGTCAATTAGTCATAACGAAATTTGACAAATGTTTTTCAACTTAAATTCAATAAACATGAATATATTAAACTAAATGATAATGGGCCTATGAATGGCCCATTAGTTATTCTAGATCTTTTGGTTAGATATTGAAGCCTGGTTAGGACCACACTGATTACAACAAAAGCAGGAACATTTAGTAACAAATTACTATTTTACCACCAAAACTCCAATGTAACTATCGGCAGATGAGATCCGATCGAAGTAGTAAAAACATCAACAAAATTCTTTAAATTCATTAATCGACTCGAAGAAGAAAAGAAATCACTTATCCCAGAAACTTTCTTCGTATTGATTGTGTTTTTCGGAGAAACGAGATCGGGATCGGAATACGAGTACAATGGAGGTTTTGCAAGATGGATCGGAGAGAGATAAAACTCCTCCTCCTTCCTCTTCGTCTTCTTCGTCTCCCATTCCTGTCGTCACCAATTTTTGGAAAGGTTTGTTTCATATTCATGTCTACCTATCTATTCGTTTGCTTCGAGTCACGCGAAGCTGAGGATGAGCTTGTTTTTGTAGTCAGGGGAAGTTCGTGTTTAGGTTTATTTTGGATTCCGCTGAAGTAGTAAGCTTAAATCAAATTAGAGACGTGATGAGATTCTCACTGGATGTTCGTGATATTGCATTGGTAGTTTAATGCGATCGGATTGAGAAATTTCAGTTGATTGCTCTTAAAAGTTATCAACTCATTTTTTTAGTTTTTGAGCAAGTACTGATATCTTGTTTCATCTCGATTCTCCGGCTTTTGTATTTGTTACTTATACGAAATCAATTTCAGTTAGAGAACTGTTTTCGTGGTTGCCAGCTGTTTATCAGGTTTGATAGACATCATTGAAGAAATCTATTCCCGAATGATTCATTCACATGTCTTTAAACTACTTGTTGCAGAATTTGATTTGGAGAAGGAGAAAAGCCTGCTTGACGAGCAAGGGCTTAAAATAGCTGAAAATCAAGAAAACAGCCAAAAGAATCGGCGGAAGCTTGCAGAGAGCACTCGAGGTACTTTTTTTGTTTCACCTTTTATATTGCTTATCACTTCAACTTTTTTTCATAAGGGGCCTCGATAGTTCCAGCGAAGCACGAGTAAGATAATAGTAGATGTTAACATATTATTTGGTTTATCTTGGTAACAACAGACTTCAAGAAAGCTTCCCCTGAGGACAAACTTAGTATGTTTAATTCCCTCCTCAAGGGATATCAAGAAGAAGTAGATAATATTACCAAGAGGGCCAAGTTTGGGGAGAATGCTTTCCTAAATATCTATCAGAAACTCTATGAAGCACCAGATCCGTTTCCTGCTCTTGCTTCTATTGCTGTAATTATCTACTTATATAATGTCAACATAATAGAAACCTAAAGTTCTTTAGCCTGAGAACTAACTAATTTCTGTATTCCAGGACCAAGATCGTAAATTATCTGAAGTGGAATCTGAGAATCGGAAAATGAAAGTTGAACTTGAGGAATTTAGGACAGAAGCCACTCATCTGAAAAATCAGCAGGCCACAATAAGAAGGCTAGAAGAACGGAACCGCCAGCTTGAGCAACAGGTCAGCTTGCTTTTAGCCTCTTGTTCTAATTGATATAGGGACAAAACTACATGAATGTAGTAGTCTCTAAAGCACATCTTCCTTAAATATTTTGAGACTATAACCTATTCTAGGAGGTCAAATGCAAATTAACTTTAGCCATATAGACGAGTTATGTAGTGATGCTATTTTAAGATCTTGTAACGGATAACTGTCGAAGATTAACAGTGATATTGTGTTGTTGTATTTGGATTCAGATGGAAGAAAAAATCAAGGAAGTTGTTGAGATCAAGCAACGAAATCTGGCTGAGGAAAACCAGAAAACGATGGAGCTTTTAAAGGATAGGTACAAGATTTTTTTCTTTTCTGATTTTCTGAATGCTTTGTGTGTTTAGGGAGTTTTCGAGCCAGCACCAACCTTTCCTTATTCACTGTTATACAGGGAGCAAGCTTTGCAAGATCAGTTAAGGCAAGCGAAAGACAGCGTCTCCACTATGCAAAAATTGCATGAGCTAGCGCAGAGCCAACTTTTTGAAATCCGTGCTCAATCAGGTTGTGCATTGAGCCTTAATATGGTGACTCATGTGCTTCATTAATTGGGTTGTCTCCCTTACATTACTAGTCATCCATAGTTTTTCAATTTTCATTTCACTTTTTATTCATTCGAAGTTCCTTCTTCTCTTGTTAATATACGTCACCTTTATCTAAAACATCAGACGAAGAGACCGCGGCGAAGCAATCTGAAGTTAGTCTATTGATGGATGAAGTGGAGCGTGCTCAAACCCGGCTCCTTACTCTTGAGAGGGAAAAGGTCTTTTATATCATGCTCTCTTGGATAGCATGTTTGAATTAAGGGAATGCCTTAAGAGAAACCGCCGTGTTTAGCTCCCTAATTTTGTTTATTGGTTTGTAACAGGGACATCTGCGTTCTCAGTTGCAAACAGCTAATGAAGATACTGATAACAAGAAAAGGTGAGGTGACATGACACTTATGCGTCTATATAACAAGGAACATAATTTCAAATACCTCTTATCTAAGCTTTTGCTTTGTTTTGATTTTTTGTTGTGCTCTTTCACTGCAGTGATAATGTTGATTCAAATAGTATGCTGGAGAACTCTTTAACTGCAAAAGAGAAGATTATTTCGGAGCTTAATATGGAGATTCACAATGTTGAGACAGCTTTAGCAAATGAGCGAGAAAGTCATGTTGC